AAACTCGCTCTGCGGATGAAGCCGGGAGGCGCGGTACCGGCCAGATGTCAGGGGATATGTAGGACCCCCGAGTAGGAGTTCCACTTTGATGAAACACAATTTTTGTAATTCCCTCTCCTTTTTCCCAAATCCTCGATCTTTGAGGGCTGGAAGCGGGAAAACGTGAGAAGGCGAAAAACATATGAAAAACCATTGGAAATCAACGATGTTACCCTCTTTGGGCTCTCTCGGGACGGCTCTCGCAGCTCTCTTGGGTTGTTCTTGGAGCCTCGTCGGGGTCTGTTTGGGGCCTCTCAAGGATCGGGGGTGTGCTGGGGGCCTCTGGGGGGTCCCGGAGGCCTCTCGGAGGTCTCTGGAAGCCTCCTGCTCCCGCTCTTGGGCCCATCTTGGGCCTGTTCTGGGGTGGTCTGGGGCTGTGCTGGGCGCCTCTTCGGGAGTGTTGGAGCCTTCTTGGCCCGTCTTGGGGCCGTCCTGAAGGTATCTTGGGTGGTCTTGGGGCGGTCTTGGGAAGCTCTTCGGCGCTCTTGGACCGTTGAAGCTCGAAAACGCGAGAAGTCAAAAACATTGAAAAGACAATTGAACATATACGACTTTGGCCTCTTCGGGCCGTACCGTGATACCTATCAGACTTCTTGGGGTCTCTTGGAGGCCACCTGGGAGCCTCGAGAGACGTCGGAAGGCTGACTTGGGCTGCTCGGGAGCGTCTTGGGCCATCCTTTCGCATTCTGGGGGCTCCTGGGGGGTGTCTTGGGCCCTCCTGGAGCGCTGTGGAGGCTGCCCGGAAAGGCTGGGGGAGCGGTGTCGGGAGCGTCCCCGAGATGTGCCATATCTTTGCAGCGCGTTCCGGGAGCATCTTCCCAGAACGCGCTCGTGGCAGGGCACCCACGTCCGAAGACGTCGGCATGGGAAACCGCAGCGCGTGGTCATTCCAACGCGTTCCGGCGAAGACCGTCCGGAACGCGCTTGGGCAAGCGCTGGGTTTGGGGAACCGTTCAGGCAGTTTAGGATGATCGGGGCAAGAGGCGGAAGCCATCCTCATAAGACATGCAGTCTGCCTGGAGCCGTCTTGCAGAAAACACAAGAAAAATGAGACCCTGCAGTCGTTCCTGGAGCCGTCTTGGAGCCCTCTTGGGCTGCCCTGGAGCCCGTTGGAGCCCTCTGCGGATTGTTCTTGGAGCCCGCGCCGAGGATCTGGAAAATGTCCGGGACCATCGCGGCGGCCTCCGAGGACCGGGACGCCGAAACCCAATAAAAACAAAGGGGAAATGAGCCCCGGTACTCCCATGGAGTGTCGGGCAGCTGTTTTCGGGCCCCTGGGCTAGAAACATCGCGCGCGCTTCGCGCGCGCTCAGGTTCTAGCCCAGGCCGGGGGGGCGCTGGACGATCTTGGACAACGCTATCAAGCACAGGCGCGCGACGGCATCTGAGGAGCTTCTGGGGTGTTCCGCATGCTTCGTCAACTGGCTGTTGGAGGCACCTCTTGGGTGCTTCTTGGGGGGGCGTCTGAGGGTCCCTTGGGGGCATCGGTTCTGCAATCTGAAGCCGTCAGTGGCCGTCTTGGCTGCGTGGAGGCCCGACTTGAGGCCACCTGCGGCCAGATTGAGACAATCCGGAAGCCTCCCGGGGGCCTGCTGGAAGCAGTTTCGGCGCATCGAGGGCTGTCTTGGGCTATTTTAAAACCTCTTGGACGTCTCCTAGGGGCCTTTTAGGCCCTCGGGAAGCTTTTGGGGTCCTCGTCGGACCACTTGGGGGCCTCTTGCGGCCTCCTGTGGGCCTTTTGGGGGGAACGCTCTGCTGTTGGGTCGCGTTCCCCTTCTTGGGCCTCTCTTGGGGCTCTTGGGGCCCTCTCGGGCCGTCTTGGGCGCCTCAAGCACCGTCTTGGGGCCCTCGCGGGCAATCTTGGGGGTCTCTTGGAGACCTCTTCCTCTATATTGGAGCGGTATTGGAAGCCTCTTGGGCCGTGTTGGAGCATCGGGATGCCAAAAGGCAGAAAAAAAAAACATGAAAACCCGTCAAAGCCCAATCGTAAAACAATGAGTTGTGCCTCTTGGGGCCATCTTGGGAGATTTCTTGGAACCTCGTCGGCCCTCTTAGGAATTTCTTGGGGGCCTCTTGGATCCGATTGGGGGCCTCTTGGGACTTCCCGAGAACCTCACGGGGTAGAAAGCTCGAATTCTCGGTTCGTGTTTCCCTTCTTGGGCCTCTCTTGGAGCCGTCTTGGGGCCCTCTCGGGTCGTCTTGGGCGCCTCAGGCACCGCCTTGGGGCCCTCGTGGGCCGCCCAGGGCCCTCTTGGAAGCCTCTTCGGCTATATTGGAGCTGTCTTGGAGGCCTCTTCCTTCTCCTCGTCCCCCTCCTCCTCCTCCCACTCCAGCTCTCTCTCTTCCTGATCTTCCTCCTCCTCCTCCTGCAGCGTGTTCTGGAAGGCTCTCGCCGGAACATGCTGTGCACAAGTGCTGTCACTGCCCCCGCCACCGTGCCCTGGGTGGTGGGTCAGAGGCCTCATGGGTGTTAGTTTGGATCTCGTGGTTGGCCTGTCGGGGACGTCGTGAAGGCAGTTTCGCAGCTTCTCGGTAGCCGTTTTGGGACCGTTGTGGGGCCTCCTCGGGGCTGTTTTGTGGCCTCTTCAGGCCTCGTTCGGGCCTCCTGGGTGCCTCTTGGAGGCCTCCTGGGGCCTCTTGGGGGCTCCTTAGGTCCTCCTGGGGCACTCTTCAAGCGGGAGGGTCGAATTTTGGAGTCGTGGTCCCCCTCTTGGGCGCATCTTGGGGTCGTCTTGGGGCTCTGTGGGGCTGTCTTGGGCGACTCTGGGGCCGTCCTGGGGCCCTCTTGGACCGTCTTGGGGCGCTCTTGGGGGCCTATTGAGCCGTCGTGGAACGTCGGACAGCCGAAAAAGCTGGAAGGTCAAAATCGTTCGAAAACCTTGGGAAAATTGACGATTTCGGCCTCTGGAAGCGCTCTGGAGAGGCGTCTTGAAGCGTCGTGGAGTGCCTTGGGGGGCCTCTCGGGCCGTCTTGGGCCTTTCTTGGGCGTCCTGGAGCGGTCTTTCGGCGACTCGGGGCCCGCTTGGGCCGTCTTGGGAGCCTTTGGAGGGCCTCCTGGATTTTTTTGGACCTCCCCGGCCGCTCCGTCCTCCCATGGGGGGTCGGAAGCGGCGGCCTCCGAGGCTCAGGACGCCCGAAAATTGACAAAAACCGCCGTCGTGATTTTTCCAAGACGTCGGAGGTCCAGGTCGTGCTTCCCGCCTCCCCAGACCTCCGACGTCGTAATTTTTGCGACCTCGGGCCCAGGAATCGATTGGGAAAACGCACATGGGAAGGCAAGAAATGATGGACCCATCATTTCGTACCTGTGCCTTGATCAGTGGGACGGGCTTCGCACCGCCGCACATCACAAGACACGCTCGAGCGGATCCAGCCATGGCGACGTCGGGGACTGCAGAAGGTCGCAAGGACACGGAATCTGAAAGGAAGAGAGAGAAAGATAGAGAGAAAGAGAGGCAGAGAGAGACAGACAGACAGAGAGCGAAGGAAAGAGAGAGAGAGAGAGATGGAGAGAGAGAGAGAGAAACAACAAAAAAAAGACAGAGAGAGAGAGAGAGGCAGAGAGAGGCAATGGAGAGGAGGCGAGCTTGAGTCAACGAAAGTCGCAGGGAAGGGGGCAGGGGAAAGAAGGCCAGAGAGCGCTGAAAGATACAAATACTGGAACCCTCTTGGGATTTTTTGGGGGGCCTCGTCCGGCCGCTCGCTGGGAGTTTGACGTAGCTTCTCGGGAGCCTCTGAACCTGTCGGGGGCCTCTTGGAAGCAGGTTCGAAGCATTTTGGGGGCCGATTTGGGGCTTCTCGGGGCCTCCTTTGGGCCTCTTGGGGGTCTCCTGGGGCCTCTTGAGGGGCCTCCTTGGGGCCTCCTGGCGGCCTCTTGGGGCGGAAGGCTCGAGCTTGCGGTTCGTGGTCCCCCTCTGGGCCCCCTCTTGGGCCCGTCTTGGGGCCCTCTTGGGCCATCTTGGGCGCCTCTTGGGCCGTCTTGGGGCCCTCTTGGGCTGTCCTGGGGCCCTCTTGGAAGCTTCTTGGGCCGTCTTGGGGCGGTCTTGGGCGCCTCTTGGGCCGTCCTGTAACGTCGGAAAGCCCAAAAGGCAACTTTGTGAAAAATGTACGTTTTACGAAGGGAATGGGCCAATTTTTGCGTTTAGGGGCCCTCTTGGGACGCATGTTGCAGGCTTCTTGGGGCCTCTTGGGGGCGTCCTTGGATGTCTGGAGGCCATCTTCAGCATCTCGGAGCCCTCCTGGAGGCCTCTTGGAAGTTTCTTGGGCCGTCTTGGGCGCTTCTGGGGCCGTCTTGTCTGACCGGGGAGGCCTCCGGCAAGCCCCGACGAGCCTCCGGGCCCCCCGGAGCCCACATTTGTGGTCGGGGTCCCGGCCCCGGGGCCCTGGACCTGGTGCGCCGTTATATGTATATGCTTCCCTGGCGTTCTCTCTCTCCCACCCTGTCTCTCTCCCTTTCACCTCGCTCGCCTACTGCTGCCGGCTCGGCTCGAGCAGATGTGAGACAATCTGGCCACTGGAGCGGTGGTCGGAAACGAAAAGGGCCCCATTTCAATCCCTGCTGGGATCCTCCGCCATCCCTGTTGCCGCTGCGAGCCGGGAAGTGGGCTACTGAAGGCAAGCCGGTTCCGCACCCACAAAGCGATAGATCTACCCACACTGCTCAAATGTCGCACCCATCATGGAAGTTACAACACATGAAAAGCGAAGGGTATTCAGCCGAATGGTTAATACATCGGGAGACAACTGTAGCATTCAGCTGCTATGTCTGATCCCCTCGCGTATCTGATACGGATTAAAATGCAATGCTGCGTGCTGCGATAGGGGGTCTCGCTGTCGCCACGAAGCACATGCCCGTCACCGCGTCTGGCGATAGTGGATGCAAAAATGTGTCTTATCTGGTGGGGTATCTGGAACGGTTGTTTCATGTAGCCTTTGCTATCGTCAAGCTAACCTTCCCGGGACTAAATCGAAAGCCCTGAGGCCTGACCGCGAGACCAGCTGCGAGCCAGCCCGGCGTCACCAGACCTGGCTGAGGCAGCCGACGGACTGCGTGACAAAGTTCCGCCTGACCTACTCGATCGCATACCTGTTGACGAAATGCTGCTCCGTGGCGATGCTCCGATCTCGCTCCTCGAGGACGCTCCGGCCGATTCACCGCGTGACAGGCTGCGCGCCTGCTTGGGTCCGCCGCTCTGCGACTCGATCCTTTGGGACGCTCCAGGCGCGACCCATAGTATGTCCTCGGGCGTCCCCTGCTCGAGGTCATTTCGCGACACAGCCTCCAAGTCCTCTTCAGACTTCCGTTGCCAGCGACATAACAATTGAATGCAACAGCACAAAACAAGTATCGCGCCAACTATGATGCCCATAATGACAAAATCAATGCTCGCCGTTTTCTCCGTGTCGGCAAGGAGGCCCACTGCGAATGGCGTTGCCGTCGTTGATGTCGTCTGGGTGGCGGTGATTTCCATTATCGTGGGCTCTGCGTGCACGAGGACACTGGAATTTGACACGAGTGTCAGGCCCCGAGATGACATGGCGAGCTCCATGAGGCTATAAAACGTCTCAATCGACTCCAAGTTCTCTCCTGAGGTCGCGTTTACATGCTGATGCAGCTCTGTCGTTACGTCGTATGCCGAAAAGGCGGGAGATGCACTTGCAACTATCTTCCAATCGACCTGCCAATGCGTGACTGAGCTGGTGAGCTCCCGGTTCGACATGAGCCGTCGCGAGCTGTCTGTGAAAAGCGAGGCAACACAGAACACAGCACTTTCGGGCACACCCTTCTGTGAAGCAAGTGCATTCACTGACGCACTTTCCACCTGCTCTTGAATGCCCGTGCTTTCGAACCACATAGATCCCGCGACAATGTATATCCGCGTAGTGGTGCTTGTCTGTGTCGTGACGGTGATAGTGGTAGTTGCACCGAGAGGGGTAGTGGTGGTGATAGTGGTGTCGGTGGGGGTGGTGGTCATTGTGACAGTGAATAGGGTCGTGGTGCTGGTCATGGTGGCAGTGGTCAATATCGTTATGGTTCTGGACAACGTAGTGCTGGTAGCGGTGCCCATGGACACAGTACTGGTGCTGGTCAACGTGGTGGTCAAGGTAGTGGTGCTGGTAGCAGTATGAGTGGACATGGTGCTGGTGCTGGTGATTGTGGCAGTTGTCAAGGTGCTGGTGCTGGTCAACGTGGTGGTCAAGGTAGTGGTGCTGGTAGCAGTATGAGTGGACATGGTGCTGGTGCTGGTGATTGTGGCAGTTGTCAAGGTGCTGCTGCTGGTCGCGGTAGCAGTGGTCAAGGTGGTCGTGGTGGCAGTGGTCAAGGTGGTGCTGCTGGTCGTGGTGGCAGTGGTCAAGGTGGTGATGCTGGTCGTGGTGGCAGTGGTCGAGCTAGTAATGCTGGTCCTGGAGGTGAAGGTAGTGGTGTACACTGTAGTAGTAGTGCCGCTGGTCAGTGTGTCAGTGGTCAAAGTGGTGGTGATGCTGGTCATGGTGGCACTTGTCAGGGTGGTGCTGGTCATCGTGGCAGTGGACACGGTGGTGCTGCTGGTCAGCGTGGTAGTCAAGGTGGTGGTGCTGGTTGCAGTGCCAATGGACATGGTGCTGCTCCCTGTTGTGCTGGTCTCAGTCATGCTGACAGTTGTCCTGGTTGCAGTAATCACCTTAATTTCTGGTGGTGTTACTTCGATCTCAGATCCCACTATCGCGAAGCCTTGCGAAAGGAAGACTGATTGAATCCCTGATCCGAAATCATAAGCAACAACGCTATCATTAACAACCTGGCTTGCAAAATCGTATATGTTCGCCGCAGGAGCTTCAAGCGAGATGATCTCCCAATCGACGTTATACTGCGGGCCAGCCAGAACCATCAACGACATACCGGGCCAGGCTCGCAGAAGCGGTGACAGTCACAATGACATTATCTTCATCAACTTGGAAAACACTCGCTAAATGAGATGTTAACGCACGTGTAATATTGTCAACCGTCCCATTGCTTTGAAATGAGATGGCACTGGAGACAACGTAAAGGGGTGTGGTGGTAGATGTATGAGTGGTACTAGTGCTGGTCGCAGTGGTGCTGGTCGCAGTGGTGCTGGTTACACTGGTACTGGTGGCACTCAAGCTGGTGGCGGTACCAGTACTCTGGGAGGTACTGGTCCCAGTGTGAGTGGAAATGGTGGTACTACTAGTCGCGCTGGTAGCAGTGGTCAAGGTGGAGGTGCTGGTCATGGTGGCAGTGGTCAGGGTAGTGGTGCTAGTCATGGTGGCAGTGGTCGAGCTAGTAATGCTGGTCCTGGAGGTGAAGGTAGTGGTGTACACTGTAGTAGTAGTGCCGCTGGTCAGTGTGTCAGTGGTCAAAGTGGTGGTGATGCTGGTCATGGTGGCACGTGTCAGGGTGGTGCTGGTCATCGTGGCAGTGGACACGGTGGTGCTGCTGGTGTGCGTGGTAGTCATGGTAGCAGTGGTAGCAGATATTGGGTAGTGGTGCTGGTCAGTAGTCAGGGTAGTGGTGCTGGTCATGGTAGCAGTGGTAGTCAGGGTAGTCAGGGTAGTGGTGCTGGCAGCAGTGGTAGTCAGGGTAGTGGTGCTGGTCATGGTAGCAGTGGTCAAGGTGGAGGTGCTGGTCATGGTGGCAGTGGTCAGGGTAGTGGTGCTGGTTGCAGTGATGCTTGTCAGGGTAGTGGTGCTGGTCATGGTGGCAGTGGTCAGGGTAGTGGTGCTGGTTGCAGTGATGCTTGTCAGGGTAGTGGTGCTAGTCATCGTGGCAGTGGACAGGGTAGTGGTGCTGGTTGCAGTGATGCTTGTCAGGGTAGTGGTGCTAGTCATGGTGGCAGTGGTCAGGGTAGTGGTGCTGGTCGCAGTTAAGCTCGTCAGGGTAGTGGTGCTGGTCATGGTAGCAGTGGTCAAGGTGGAGGTGCTGGTCATGGTAGCAGTGGTCAGGGTAGTGGTGCTGGTTGCAGTGATGCTTGTCAGGGTAGTGGTGCTGGTCATGGTGGCAGTGGTCAAGGTAGTGGTGCTGGTTGCAGTGATGCTTGTCCGGGTAGTGGTGCTGGTCATGGTGGCAGTGGTCAGGGTAGTGGTGCTGGTCGCAGTAAAGCTCGTCAGGGTAGTGGTGCTGGTCATGGTAGCAGTGGTCAAGGTGGAGGTGCTGGTCATGGTGGCAGTGGTCAGGGTAGTGGTGCTGGTTGCAGTGATGCTTGTCAGGGAAGTGGTGCTGGTCATGGTGGCAGTGGTCAGGGTAGTGGTGCTGGTTGCAGTGATGCTTGTCAGGGTAGTGGTGCTGTCATGGTGGCAGTGGTCAGGGTAGTGGTGCTGGTTGCAGTGATGCTTGTCAGGGTAGTGGTGCTAGTCATGGTGGCAGTGGTCAGGGTAGTGGTGCTGGTTGCAGTGATGCTTGTCAGGGTAGTGGTGCTAGTCATGGTGGCAGTGGTCAGGGTAATGGTGCTGGTCGCAGTGATGCTTGTCAGGGTACTGGTGCTAGTCATGGTAGCAGTGGTAAAGGTGGAGGTGCTGGTCATGGTCGCAGTGGTCAGGGTAGTGGTGCTGGTTGCAGTGATGCTTGTCAGGGTAGTGGTGCTAGTCATGGTGGCAGTGGTCAGGGTAGTGGTGCTGGTTGCAGTTGTGCTCGTCAGGGTAGTGGTGCTGGTCATAGTGGTAGTACTCGTCACGGTGGTGCTGGCAAGGAGCCTCCTGCCCTTCACAGATTTGGTAGCGATGCTAGTTATGGAGGCGATTGCCGGGGTGGTGTTGCTTATCATGGAAATTGCAACGTGCATTTCACGTCCACCACCGCAAATACAGCAAGCTTCCACAGCCGAATGGCCCATGCTCCCCACATCCGAAGGATAGCCGATGACGACATGGCGATTCAGGGCCTGATCAGCAGATGTCGTGCACAAGTCCTCGTATTCGTCGCAAGGTAGCCCTCTACTATCGGCCCCATTTGCAGGATTGTTTGCGCAAACCCGCCTCTCACGACAGCGCGCCTCACATGTCATCATCGCCAGAAGCAATGCAGTGAACACCCCGTACAAGCTGCAATGCAACTCATACGGATTGCCTTGGCGCCCAGGGCCCATTGATATCTTGGGAGGCACCCTACGCGTTTCAAACTCAAGGCGATATATAGTCACTGAGCACGGCTGCGCGTGCTTCGGCCACTGGCTTGAGCCAAAATGGCTACGGAGGTTCGTGTTTCCCTTCTTGGGCCTCTCTTGGGGCCGTCTTGGGGCCCTCTCGGGACGTCTTGGGCGCCTCAGGCACCGCCTTGGGGCCCTCGTGGGCCGCCCAGGGCCCTCTTGGAAGCCTCTTCGGATATCTTGGAGCTGTCTGGGAGGCCTCTTCCTCCTCCTCGTCCCCATCCTCCTCCTCCCACTCCAACTCTCTCTCCTCCTGATCTTCCTCCTCCTCCTCCTCCTGCAGCGTGTTCCGGAAGGCTCCCGCCGGAACATGCTGTGCACAAGTGCTGTCACTGCTCCCGCCACCGTGCCCTGGTTGGTGGGTCAGAGGCCTCATGGGTGTTGGTTTGGTTCTCGTGGTTGGCCTGTCGGGGACGTCGTGAAGGCAATTTCGCAGCTTTTCGGTGGCCGTTTTGGGACCGTTGTGGGGCCTCCTCGGGGCTGTCTTGTGGCCTCTTTAGGCCTCGTTCGGGCCTCCTGGGTGCCTCTTGGGGGCCTCCTGGGGCCTCTTGGGGGCTCCTTGGGGGCTCCTTGGGCACTCTTCAAGCGGGAGGGTCGAATTTTGGAGTCGTGGCCCTCCTCTTGGGCGCATCTTGGGGCCGTCTTGGGGCTCTGTTGGGCTGTCTTGGGCGACTCTGGGGCCGTCTTGGAGCCCTCTTGGGCCGTCTTGGGGCACTCCTGGGAGCTTATTGAGCCGTCTTGGAACGTCGGACAGCCGAAAAGGCTGGAAGGCCAAAGTGGTTCGAAAACCTTCGTACAATTGACGATTTCGGCCTCTGGAAGCGCTCTGCAGAGGCGTCTTGACGCGTCGTGGAGTGCCTTGGGGGGCCTCTCGGGCCGTCTTGGGCCTATCTTGGGCGTCCTGGAGCGGTCTTTCGGCGACTCGGGGCCCGCTTGGGCTGTCTTAGGGGGCCTCTGGAGGCCCTCCTGGACTATCTTGAACCTCCCTGGCCGCCCCGCCCTCCCATGGGAGGTCGGGGGCGGCGGCCTCCGAGGCCCAGGGCGCGGAAACCCTGTAAAAACAAAAGGAAAATGAGCCCCGGTCCCCCCGTGGAGGGTCGGGGCACCTGTCCTGGGGCCCCCGGCCTCCTCCACCTCCTCCCCCCCTCTGCCCCCCTCGGGGAACGCGGCGCTTTGGATGGCGCCCTTACCGACCGCGCACCGGCAAGACTCCTCCGGAACGCGATCGGCATCGAGACGAGGGGGGCGCGAGGAGGGCGACGAGGAGGAGCGCGACGCAGGTGGGGAGGAGGAGGAGGGGGAAGAGGAGGAAGGCAGCGTCCAGCAGAGGCCCAGGGCTGTTCTGCAGATGGTTCCGTAGGCTGCGCCCTGGAGGACTCCGGGCGCGGAAACCCTTTGAAAACACAAGGAAAATAATGCAAAATCGCTGCTCAAGTGAGGGCTTCAGCTCCGTCGGGCACCCCTGATGGAGCCGTTTTGGGACCCTCTTGGGGCCCTGTGAGGTTGTCCTGGGGCCAGGTGGAACCTGCGCTTGGAACTCATTCCGCGTAGACCGCGCCCTCGAGGGCTCCGGACGCGGGAACCTGGTAAAAACACAAGGAAAATGATGCAAAATCGCTGCTCAAGTGAGGGTTTCAGTTCCGTCGGGCACCCCTGTTGGAGCCGTTTTGGGACCCTCTTGGAGCGCTCTGAGATTGTCCTTGGGCCTATTGGAACCATCAGCTGAACAGCCGTGGGCCTCTTTCAGCAGCCCCTGCGGCCTCTGGAGCCCGGGACGCGGAAACCCAATAAAAAACACAGGAAACATGAGCCCCGGTACCATCATCATCGTCACC